TTTTGTTTATGGAACCTTAAAAGGTTTTGTGACTAAATATCAGCTTGATCAAAGTAACACTGCCACTGCATTTATTTAAGCTTCGTGTCCATGTATTCTGTCAAACAATGCATAAACCTTTTGCCAAAATAGATATGCTGGGAGCAGAACAAGTTTGTTTAAAATAGAACACAAACATATGCAGCGTTCTCCCCAGATCCCATTAGCACAGTTAACATATTTTGGATGTTTTTATCCCTTGTCTATTACTCCTTGTGGCACATTCCCTGCCTATTACCCCTCTCTTCTCTTCTCTTCTCTTCTCTTCTCTTCTCTTCTCTTCTCTTCTCTTCTCTTCTCTTCTCTTCTCTGTACAAGTAAATTGCTACATAACTTTGTTTTAAAATAAATTCTGTGAGTTTAATCAGCTATTCTTAATGTTTGCAATTTTTTACTTTCACATACCGTTTCTTATCCACAGTAAGGACCGATCATTCTCTTTCTATTAGTGTGCATTTTAGAGTTGCATATATGATCTGGTCAAAGATTAACAGTTTGTTTTCTTGAATTAAGCATATGGAATTGGGCAATTGTTGTTATTATCGGAAGTATGAAATCATGAAAGTGACAGATCACAAATAGGGATCTGTTATTCCAGGGTTTAGCCCGTCGCTGTAAATTGCAGTCCTCTGGGCCAAATTTGTTAAAAATGATCTTCTATGTTCACTTAAATATGAGTAGAAATATGCATACTAGGGATTCTGATTTGTCTAGGTCCTAATCAGACATCTGAAGGTCTGGAAGAAAAAAAAAGCAAGAAAAGTGTTTTATTCTGAACCCCTTTCCTTTTGCTTTTTTCCCAAAACTTGAAAATGAAAAGAATTAGGAAATGTTTCCTATTGTTTATTTTTTAATTATACATAAAATTGATAAGATGTAAAAGAGATTAATCTGAGTTTAGCTCACACCAAATCAAGAAATGAACAAACATTAACAAGTTTTTATCAATACAGGCGAACCATTCCAGGAGTTTGTTTAAAAGAAGAATCAGCATAAAAAGGAATTGCTGAGTGTGACAGTTCAGATCCAGAAAATGAGACATTAGGCAACATTGCATCAGGCAAAATGCACATTCTGAACATTCATTACCTATTTTTATCAGCTTTTCTCTGAAAATTAGCATTTTCTGTTTGTTAGATACAGTGAAGGACAAACCTCTGAATACTTAACTTAGGCTACTTAAAAAAACCTAATAGGTTATTAGGTTTTCAGTGTTAATTTTTTACCTGCCTGCTTTTTCTAACCAAGAAAAAATGAAGAAATGTTGCATTCCTTAGAGTTCAGCAGCTTGTTGCTCCGTTTGAAGCAAAAATAAAAAAGTAAATTTAGTATATTGTATATATCTCAGTTCCCACCTCCCTCCATTTATTCCGTTGCTTCAAGTTTTCTGAATTATTTTGTCTCTATCCTGGATCATGTAGAGAGTTCTCTGCGTATTCAAGAGCATAGTTGGAAAACCCTGGCAGTGTGGACAGGTTTAGGTGAGATCTGGAAGGTACAGATGGAGACCCAATGATATTGGCATTATGGCTCCACCGTTCTTCCTCAGGAGTAAGTTTCCTGTTCCAGCTGAATACCTGGACAAGGCTATTTCCAAACTAGATCAAAAATCACTCAAAAGAATCAAGCTGTAATCCCCAATAAATCAAAAGTCCTTGTGATTCTCTATTCATAGAGATGGCAGCAACTTCTAGGGCAGAACATATGCATATATTATCTCATGCTATAGGTATAACAAGCAAATTGGCAGGCTACACATTTTGAATAAAACCTTGTTCTATTGTTTTCCTTTGGCCGATTTAATTTTTTTTTTTCAGGTTGAAAAAGAAGAAGTGGGTAATGTGTTTCCTCCTCTCCTCTCCTCTC